GCGGCCAAGTGGATGCGAAAGGCAGTCGCGTATGATGCCCCGCCAACGCATGCCCAACGGGCACGCGACTGGCTGTCCGCTCGCGGGCTATCGCCGTGAGCAGGTATGCACAACTGCAGCGCCGCGCCCGGTTCTTGGTGGGCGCTTGAGTGCACTCTTCCCCCGCTGCGCTGCGCTAGTTTACATCCTTACGCGTGCTCGGAGCGTTGCCCCGCCTATGCTCGTTGCGTTTTTTGTCCCTCCGGCTCTCTGTTTTCGCGTCCACGGGTGTGAAAGAAAATTTCCGCGTTTTTCCCGCCAAAAGAAAGCCAATTCTTGACTTGGGCCCTCGGGGAGGGCCCGGGCGCAGGTTCGACAAAAAGGGCCCCTCCGCGAGGGCCTATGCGCGCTCGCGCTCAGTGCTCCAGATTAGGCACACCGTGCTCAACATCCTGCGCCGCGTGCTCATCGTGGGAGATTGTCGACGCCGAGATGTACGCCATTTACAGCTTCCTGCGCACGAAGGCGGACGAAACAGAAACGACCCTCCAGCCTCACCGATGCCTAGTAATGTCGGACAGCGAGACGGCGCTCAAGGAGATCGAACGGGCGTATCGGGGGCGGACACGCGGCGAGACAAATAGGAGCGCACTCAATGCGGCGGTGCAAGCACAAATCGACATTATACAGCGCCACGGAGGGTACGTGATTTTCATCTTCACGGAGGGGCATGCGGGCAACGCGCCCAATTCCATGGCGGACGCGGCGGCAAAGGCACACCTGCGGAGCAGGGTAACGAGCGCGTACGAGATGGACCTAGCACGACACGTGACGAACAGGGCATGCATCTACATGCATGAGGAGGAGGGGCAGGCGCCGGAGATCCGAGACAGGAAGCTGTATCAAGAAGCGAAGGAGAAAATTGGGCGGTGGGTACGAAAGCGGCTGGACGGCGGGCACGCAGCGCGAAAGGGAGGAGACGACAACGTGTGGAGGACGGTAATCAAGGCGACGGGGACGATATCAGGCGACACGAGATACGAGGGAGACAGAGAACGGGGTCCAAAATCGACCCAGCGCCAGCCCGAGGCCTGCGGGGAGAAGGCGAGGCTAAGGCTGGTACACGGCATGCGGACGGGACAGACCCGAGGTATAGAGCACGGGAGGCGATGGAGGGCCAGCCTAGAGGCAGAGGCGTGGCAGGACGGGTGGGACGAGGAGGGAGGAGGAGCATGTGCCGATGGGGCTGAAGGTTGCTGGCATCCTGGATGTTGCAGGACAATAGCTAACACTAGGCACGTCCTATGCGCCGAGTGCGAGGCGGTGAAGGGGGAGAGGAGGGAGCACCACCGGGCGATGAGGAAAGGCGCGGCGGACGTGCTCAAGGCGCTACGATGGACGCCGCCGAAGTCAAGGAGGCGGACACTCGCCCACACCGCAGAGTGCGAAGCCCAGGCGCTCGCTGTACGCGCCATTGCTGGGGCGACGAAGAGATGCGCGGGGAGAAGGGAGAGCGACGAGGAATGGGAGGCGATGGAGCAACTGCTAGCTGGACGACTACCCGAGCCGAGTGTGATGGACCAGGACCCGCCAGAAGACATCATGAGGGAGTATGACACACGGGTGGTGACTTCACTCAAGGCACTGCAGCAGACGGCGGCATCAATAATCAAAGTACGGGAAGGGAAGAGGAAGGGACTCGAGGCGGAGAGGAAGGAACGAGTAGCCGCGGAAACAGAACGCCTGAGAGAGGGACAGAAGGAAAGGAAGGAGAGGATACGAGAAATGGAGTGGGCGGCGAATGCGTGTATTTGCTGGCGACGGAGGCGACATCGACAACGTGATGCCGAGGAGAAGGAAAGGGAAGAGGCAGAGAGACGCCTCGAAGCGGGGAGAGGCAGAACGACGAGAGCGATGGGGATGACACTCAAAACGACCCACTGCGAGCTCGAAGGCGAAGGCCAGCGCAGGAAACGCGGTGATAGGAACGACGATGCGGCGAGCGCCGGAGGGAAGCGACGACAGCGAGGGGACGAGGACGGCGAGCAGAGAGGAGAACAGACGGCGAGCGGCGCACGCGAGGGCGACCACGCAGGAGAAAACAGACGGGACGAGGGGAAGGAAACGCGGCCCGCCAGGAAGCGAAGGCAGACGGCAAGATACGTCGCCGGACCAGCGACAGGAAGCGCAGGAAAACAAAAAGAACAAGACCAGGAGCATGGAGACGAGGGAAGGCGCGAGGCGCTCCGCCGACAAGCAGCAGAGGCGGCGGCGAAAGTAACGACGGCCATGCTAACGACGGGCGGCACGGTGGAAGGGGCGAAGGTAGGCCCCTCTAGCATAGCGGAAGGGGAACTCGGCCTACTGGCGACGAGGAGGCTAGAGAAATTTGAGGTGTGTAGCATCTACACTGGGGAGATCTTCCGGACAGGAACGGCGCAGCCACCAGAGACAGTACCAGACGAACTATCACGACACACGGCAGCAGGGGGGACGCAGCTGGATGGAAGTGACGACGAGAGCGGGGACGACTTTGACAGCGTCGCGGCGCGGTGTAACTTCGACTGGCCTGCAGCATCGAATGAGCCGAAACGAGGCACGAGGGCCACGCACTTCGTACGCTACGAGGAGATACAATTAGGCAAGGCAGCTGCGCAGGTGATGGTCCTGTTTGCAGAGAGGGGAGTCAAGGAAGGCCAAGAAATCACATGGTCATATGGGGACTCATACAGGAGCCACCGCAAGGAGATGGGATACAAGGCGGGGACCAGGGCGGATCCGAACGCAATAACACCCCAGCAAGCGCGGACGGCATTCGCGAGATACTGCAAAAAGATAGACGTGACGAAGGAGGAGCTAGCGTGGAACTTTGGATGCATATCGGCAAGCCAAAATAACGAGCAGGAGGCTGTCCTGGTGCGTGAGCTAATCCTGAGCAACAATAAGCGACTGTACCACGGAGCACAGAGCGCAGCAGACAGGACGGCGGCGACGGCGGACATGGCAGAGACGAGTGTGAAACAAAGGGCGGCGGGCATGGAGGGCGGTAGCGACGGGGATGGAGACGGTGACGGTGGCGAGGGAGAGGAAGGGGGTCCATTAACACCAGACAGCGAGAGGGGCAGGGAGGAAAGGGGGAGAGAGGAAGCCAACGCGACGTGCGCAGAGGATGAGGATATAAACTGGGACGACGCAGCGGAGGGGATAGGCGAGGGAATCGAGGGACCGGAGGGCTTTCGCGACAGCGACGATGACGACGAAGAAAGGGGAGGGGACGGAGGGGCGACACGCAGGAGGAGCGAAATCGCTAACGGCCCGAGCAGAGAGGGCGACGGCGGGGCACGAGGGAACAACGGAGACGCTACCGATGACGCGAACCGAGGCACGGACGCCGGCGGGGACGGGGAGGGCGACAGCGACGTCGAGGTTGACGCAACCGTATCGAGAGCGCCACCCAAAAAGGGGCGGACAGCCATGGAGGTCACCGAATGGAGGGCGAACGGCACGATGCGAAAAGGCAGGGCGAGGCGGATGGAGAAAGAAGTGCCGAGAAGGCCATGGTGGAGGGGAGGGACGGGAGGACGAAAGAAGGGCGAGGAGGACGAGCGGCCCGCACAGACCGCGAGCAGACAGCGCCTGCTGGCCATTTCGAGACATTCGCCAAGAACGCTAGCTACATGGGAGGGCTTCGTGAAGGATGGATTGAAAAACATTCGAACAAAGAAGAGGCGACGGGAGGAACCGGCGGAGGATGCAGTGACGTGAGACACACACACACACACACACACACACACACACACACACACACACACACACACACACACACACACACACACACACACACACACACACACCGCTCACCCACGCGCACTGGGCCTTGCACTTTGAATGCCGTGGGGCTCCTGTCGTCAGACGTGGAGACGCGAGGGTTGCCCCCCCTTGCCCCACCACCTCGTGTGTGTGGAGAAGTTTACCTTACCTTACCTTACCTTACCTGCTCGTCATCGGCGCTGCGGCGGCAGTGTTTGCGACGCCGCTCTCGGCGGCCAACTGCCCACCAACTACCCTCGATCCCGACCCTGACCCTGCCTGACCCTGACCCTGACTCTGACCCTGACCTTCACCCTGTACCCTCGCCTGACCCCGAACCTAGCTTCACCCTGTACCCTGACCCCGAACCTAGGTGGCCAACTGCGCGGGCGTCGCCACGGCGGTGTGGGAGCCGTCGTCGCCTTCGCGCGGACCAAGGCGCGCGACGGCAACAGCAGCACCAGCAGCGGTGGCGGGTGGGGCCAGCGGCGCCGGCGGTGGAAGGACTCCACTCTCGCACAAAGGGTTTGCTCACGAAGGCGCTCTCAAAAAGTAAAATATGAGGGATTTTGCTTCCGGTGTTCGAGTCAGGCAGTCACAGTGAGTAAAGCACAACAGTCAACTGTCAAGCTCAGACCACAGACGTCTCAGTGTTTTGCCGTTTTATTCCCGTTTTATTTATTTAGGTGCCGAGATATGCACAATGCAGGGGATACATGCACTCTGGTGACATGATGTGTACTCGAATATGACTATGACTCTATGAGGTATGACGTATGTGACTGAGTTGTGCGCTAAAGAAACTTCCCCAACTCGGCGCATTGAGGAGGCCAGGCAAGCTCCCACCAGTCCTCAGCAGTGACGACGAGCAAGCTGCGGACGTCGACTCTCGAGCGAGGGTGCCGCCGCCACCGCAAGCTGACGAAGCTGTGCGGTTAAGCGGGAGCAAGCTGCGGCTGCGGAGGAGGCTGACGCAGCTCGATGGGCCGAGTACGGCCGCCGCGAGGCTGCGGCTCGAGCGGACGTGAAGCGCGAGGTCGCTGGACGCCGTGAGCGAGAGGCACAGGACGGGGTGGAGGCAGTCGCAGTCTCAGTAAACCGACGGGCGAGACTGCCGCGCCCGGCAGGTTCGTAATCACGGAGGAGCAGAAGCCCTGCCCTGCTTGCAGCCACTGCGTCATCATCAACCGCAGACTGCAGTCCAACATCCTTCACTGCGGCCAAGCGCAATTTTGCTGGGACTGCGGGGCGATCATCGGTTCCGCCCGGACGACGCGCTCCGCCGCTTCCTTTGCAGGCCAGCGAGCAATGTGCGGTTGGCGCGGCGCGCGGCGCCGCGCGCCAGCCACTCGCAGCACTTTTTGCCGCACTTCTGCGGGTCGCACGACCTGCGGCAAACGGCACCGCATCGGCGTGCCGCGCCTTCCTCGTGATCGCGCCGCCGCCGGGCGCCGGGGCTTACCTTTAGGCGTTCCACCGAGCTGTTGTGCCAACCACACGCAGCCAGCGGGTCGGAGCCGTCGGGCGGCGTGACGAAAGGCGAGCACTCCTCGTCGAGCCGCCACTCGCTCGCCCAGCGCACGAGCACGCGCGACGCGTCGAGCGGGTCGACGTACAGTGGCAGCCACACGTATCGTCCAAAGTGCGCCTTGAGCGTGTCCCACCGGTCAGCCACGTAGACGAACTGGGGCAGCCGCGCGCATGCCGCCGCCGCCGCCGGCGCTGCTGGCGCGGCGCGCGGCGCGTGCCGGCGCACGCACGCCGTGTGCGCTGGGTTGGGCAACACGAACGTGCACTGGCTGCCAAAGGCCCACGCGCCCGGCTGCGCGGGCGGCGCGTTGCCCGGCATGCGCGGCTCGGGCATGGGCGGCGCGAGCTCAGAGCCGTTGAAAGCGCCGAGTGGCGACGAGGCGCGGTGCAGTCGGACCGGCGCCGGCCGCCAGCCGTTGGTGCCGCCCGTCCAGAGGTAGTATGTGCCATCGCCGTTGTTGCCGGCGGCGCTGCGCGCGACGGACGGTGGCGCAAAGAAGACCGCAGGCGCCTCGTGGTGCGCACTGACGAAGATCTGCGTGTCAGAGCCGTCGACCGTGTCGGCGCAGTCGTCACTCAGCCGCATCGCGTGGAATCCGAGCCGTCGGTCGCGCACCGGGTACACCTGCGTGCGCCAGTAGACGTATGTCGCGCCGTCGCGCGGGTCCTGGAAGAGCGTGGCATCCGCGTACTGGTAGAGCTTACGCGGCCCGAGGTGGCGGAAATGTCGCACGAGCCGCCACGGGCCCGCCGGTGCGTCGGCGCGCAGCACGGCGAGCGCTTGCGGCTCGTTCCGCGGCGCCGTGCCGCGCACCCACATCACGTAGTCGCGCCTGGCGGTGCAGCCACCACCTTGGGCCGCTCGAGGAGCAGCCCATTCCGCGTGTATCGCGGGTTGGTGTCGTTGAACGCTGGCACGACGAGGCCTTCGAAGCGCCACGCATAGAGGTCCGATGAACTGTATGCGTTGATACCGCCGTCGCGACAGTTCCACAGCTTGCACGGGTGGCCCTGGCGCTGGCTGCCGTACCACCAGATCCGACCGTCGGTGTCGAGCATGAGGCCGGCGCCGTGAGCGTCGATCGGCGTTCCGGCGGTGTCGAGCCATTGCGCGCCTGGGCGTATCGATGGGCCGGTGGCCGCGGCGTGTGCTGGTGCCATCGCCTAATCGTCAATGGCCTTCGTGCGAGTGCTTCGTGCGAGTGTTGCTTCGGGGTGCGAGTGTCGGCGTGAATGAGCGCGGTCCTTCTATATATATTCTATAGGCCCGCGGGTTTTCGCACGCCATCGTTTTACTTTTTTCTCCTTTAAAACTGCGTGGAAATCCTCCCGGGAAAACTGCGTGGAAATCCTCAAATTTTGGGCTCTGAGCCGAGTCTGGGGCAGACCTCCTGCGCCTGTGCATGTTCCGCGTGCCCGCCCGCCAAGCAAGGCTGGTGCCAAGGCCTAATCAACTGCCAAGGCTGGCGCCAGAAGAAAGAAAGAAAGAAAACAGACAAACCAAGGGAGGGATGGGAGAACGGCACGCCGCCACCACACAGGGATTTTAAGGAGAGGAGTGTGATGCGCTAGCCGTCGCCCACCCTGGGGAGTCTGCCTCTTCGTTCGTATCTCTTTTCGCAGTCTCTCGCCGCTTCTCGCTGCAACCTTCATGCCACCTCGCGGCCGTCCCACTCTCGTCGTTCTCTCCCTTGCCACTTCCTCCTCTGTCGCGTCGTTCTCTTCTGCCTCGTCCTGCGACGCCGCCGCCTGCCGGTCCCTTGTTCTCGCGGCTTCTTTCGCCTTTCGGCGCAACTCCGTCCTCCTCGCGGCGTATCCTGGCCCCTCGAGTCTATCGAGCTCCCCTCGCGCAAGGACCACATTTCTGACTCCCACTCCGATCATTTGCCTGCAGGTCATGTTGTTGCTCAGGTCCACTCTCTCTTCGAACACTCGTGCCTCTACGGATGATGCCGGCGCTGGAGTCCCCTTCGGATGCATCGTGACATCTGACAACTGAATTTCCACTGGTTCGTCCTCCTCTGAGTCATCTTCCCCGTCCTCCTTCCGCTCGGCTCTTCGCCAAAGAAAGAAAGAAAGAAAACAGACACGCCAAACGAGGGATGGGACGAGGACAGGGTCCCCACCTGCACGAGCAGGATTTTGGAACAAGGACGATCAGGGGGACAGGTGGGGCTCTCCTGCTCCTGACAAGGGACACGACAGGCTCGCAGCGCGGTGCGCGGTGGACTCCCACATCCACTGGCGGTCTCATCTCAGTATAGCGACCTGCCTCCAGCTTGTCGCTGGCAGTCTCTCCTACCACAGGCACACTGACACAGGGGTGGCAGGGGCGGCGGCACGAGTCTCCCACATACTATGCGGGCCTCACTAGAGGTGCGGCCTGTGCGTGTCCTCGCCCTTGAGGGGGGAGGGGAAGGGGCTGTGTGTCTGTGCATGTGTGTGTGTGTGTGTGTGTGTGTGTGTGTGTGTGTGTGTGTGTGTGTGTGTGTGTGTGTGTGTGTGTGTGTGTGTGTGTGTGTGTGTGCGTGCGTGTGGAGCCGCCCTGAACGCCACGAGCGCCGCGCGGGGCCAACTCAAGGGTAGGAATTTTCTTTGGGCGCCCTCCCTGTGTCGTTCGCCTACACACTTTGTGCATGCCCGGCTCACTGGAAGGGCTGCGCGCGCTCTCTCCCGCCGAGGAGTACCTTCGGATTGTCGCCAGCGCCGCGGCACGAGGGCTCGCGCCGCCAGACAAGACGGTGCTGATCACTGGAGCTTCTGGCTACCTCGGTCAGCACCTCATCGCTCACTTAGCGCGCACCTTCCCCACGTGGCGCCTCGCCGCAGCGTATGGCGGGCTCGACACATTCGCGGAGGACTTTGGGGCGGTCTGCGCGTGCGTCCAACTCGACCTCACCGACGGCGCGGCAGTCACCGCGCTCGTCTCAGAGGTGAAGCCAGACGTGGTGCTGCACCTCGCAGCCATATCGAGCCCGGCCGTCTGCGAAAGGGACCCAGCGCGTGCTCGCGCCGTCAACGAGTGCCCCCCCCTCCTCGCGGCCGTCCCAGCGCACGCCTGCTTCGTCTTCCTCTCCACCGATCAGGTCTACGACGGCCTCGCCGCCCCGTACACTGAGACGTCGGCCGCCGCCCCGGTCAACGTGTACGGGCAGAGCAAGCTCAGCTTTGAGCGCGCCCTGACCGCCGCGCTCCCGTCGCGAAGCGTCTGCCTCCGCTCGTCCCTCATCCTCGGCCCTCCGACGCCTGGGCGGTGCCGCAAGGGGCACTAGATGCGGGAACACCGACCGGGCGGCTGTCTTCTAGCCCCTGGCCTCGTAAAGCTGGTGCCAGGCGATGCTCGCACGAGACCGCGTCCACACACCGCCGTAGGCAAGGGGTCCTTCCTCCAGTTTTGCGCCGAGCGGCTCTCTGCCGGCGCAGCGACCGACTTCTTCTCCGACGAGGCGTCGGGGCCCCGCCTCCGCACACTTCGAGAGCACGCGCCTCCTCGCCGCCTCCTCGCTTCGTCCGCGGCCTCTTCCCCGCCGCTCCGCCACCCATTCGCAACCCACAGCACGCACCACCCGGCGTCCACCTGCCTACCACACTTGCGCACTAGGGGAGGCGCATAGGCACAGGTACAAACAGCCGACGGGGACGGACCACCGCGTCTCATTCCGTAGCTCGCCCTCTTCCGACGCGCAGGTCCGGTCGGTCGTGTGGGTGGGAGATATCGTGTCGATCCTCGCCTCGCTCGCCCGCGACGGTGCGTCGCCCCGCGCTGACTTCTCAGCGCGGCCTCATCGCGCCCCTCCCTCTCAGCCTCTCGCAGCCTCTCGCAGCCTCTCCACTGTCGCGCTCTCTCAGCCTCTCTCACCCTCTCTAGGCCCTCAGACACCCTCCCTCGGCCCTCAGAGGCCCTCAGCCACCCCAGCCTCCTCCAGCCCACTATCCCTCTCTCAGCCCCCCTTGGCATCTCTCGGCCTTTCAGGCGTCAGCCCGCAGTCGGCGGGCGTGTACAACATGGGCGGACCAGAGAGAGTGACGCGCGTGGAGGTGGCGGAGGCAGTCGCAGCGCAGGGCGGCTACGACGCGCCACAACTCATCCGCCCCGTGGCGCGCTCGTCGCTGCCGCCCGCCGCGCGCGCGGTCGCCTCGCCTCCGGACATCTCTATGGACTCGACGAAGCTGCGCAGCCTCACTGGCCATCCGGCGACGAGGCTTGCGGAGATGGTCGCTGGTGCGGCGGCCGCCGCTGGCGCCTCGCCGTTCTAGGAGCGAGTTGCCGTGTTTATCTTTTTGAGGCGGCCTTCCGGCGAAAGCCGCTCCGCAGCGCGGTTTTTTTTTATTTCGTCGCAGATTTCGACTTTTCTTTTGAGCTAGCCTTCGATGGGCCGAGCGTTTTTGATCTCTCGGTCAGTGGGCGCCCGCCCGCCGCCTCTGAGGGGGTTGGGCCCCCTAGTCTGAAAACAAAAACAAACTCGAAAGCAGCCAAAATCAGCCTGCGAGAGAGGCACTGCGCGCCGCTGAGACCTTATGTGGGGATGTGTCTGAACAGTGTTGCTAGTGTTAACAGTAAGAACAGAACAACAGTGGGGCCCCCCAACAACAGTAGCTAACGTTAGGCCGACTGAACAACAGTAAGGAAGGCCTGGCAGTGACCCACGACGATCTCTAGTGTCCAGTGCGGGTAATACCCGAAAATACCCGGAAAATCCCAGGTATTTTCGGGTTTTACCCGGGTTTTTTGCCATTTTCTGCTTGCTGACCACTGAACAACAGTAACAACAGTAACAAACAGTAACAGCATGGGCTGGGGTGAACACTTGAACAACGTTGAGGATTTCAGCCAACACTAGCGCAACTGTTAGGCCCAAAGTTAACGTTAGGCAAGAGCAGGCGGACATCGCTTCCAGGGAGGGGGGCGTCGAGACGCTCGCCAAGCGGCGCGCTGCAGAGAAGGGGTGTTCGTTTGACGCTGCCAAGACGCGAGATCGAGCCGAGATACAGCCGAGATCTAGGCGAGGTGTGCAGCCGAGGTCAAGCAAGGTATAGCTGAGGTACAGCCGAGGTACAGTGTACGTACAGCCGAGATACAGTTTACGTACAGCCGAGGTACAGCCGAGGTGTGATGCCTTAAGGTGGGCGTGCTCAACGACGCGCAGATCGTCTGCCTCACCCTCTCGTGCGCTACCGGGCTACGCCATGTTCAACTCGCTGGGTACCCCGCTCAAGAGCGGGTTCGACACGGTGCTGGCGACGAGGCGGCGTAGGCGGTCGAGGTGTCCGGGAGCGGGCGCGGCACGAGGCTTGGCGGGAGGCGGTCCGCTTCGTGGCGGTGAGCCAGGATGGCGCCGGCGCCTTCCTCAACGCCATCCCATGGATGACATGCGAATGGAGACTTGGGGCGAGGCGGATCTCGGTGCAGCGCCGCCCCTGGGTCTCCCCCTCGACGTGGCCTGCCAGGCCGTGCGCGGCGGCGGGCAAGAAGACTCAAAACAAGAAGTACCACGACGAGTTCGGCGATGCAGCTGTTAATGTTCCGCCACAACATCAGACACAAGTACACGCTTCGACGCCTCATCCTCGCCCTACGCGACGCGCCGCGTGGGGCATCCACCGCTGTGCGAATGGAGCCGTATTCGCACAACGAGCCCTCTGGCTAGTTCCAATTCACTCTGACACGCTAATCTTGAAAACGCGTCCAACGGAGCTCCGTGTTGCTCCCAGCGGAATCCCCCGCGCTTCCTGCGGCCATGGCCGATGATACTAGTATGAGAGGTCATCTGGCTACCGCGAGCGCGACTCAACTCGCCGACGTCGTCCGATGATTGTGCCGCAAAGTCAGCCTCCGGAGGCTATCGTGGGGTCGAGCCGGCGGTAGCCATGACATGTGGTTCCACCACCCCTCGCAGGCTTTGCCTCTGACCGCCACCGTTCCCAGGCTGCCTAATGGGATGGAAAGGAAGGCTGGGCGAGCGTATAGAAGCGTGCTCGACCTCGTCGTGGCAGCCTGCACGGCAGCGCTGGTAGGCGCGATGAGCGTCGTGCCACCTGACCCAAGACGGGTCGCAGGCGTCGTACCGAGCGTGTCGAGACCGTGTCCTGATGTGATCTGCACGGGTGAGTCACGTCGGCGTCAAAGGAGCGACGTGCGACCTGTCAGAGCTTGATCTCCGATCTCAGCGGCGTCGAGTCGTTTCCGGCGCGCGACAAAGGTACATACCCAGGACGCGCCGAGGCAGCTGCGACCCCGCCGAGTGGACGGCGGCACACCGCGCCACCTGCTGTGTGCCGCCGTCTACTCGGCGGGGTCGCAGCTGCATCTGGAAGGCACCGAGATGTACCTTTTTCGCGCAATGGTCAAATCAAGGTTTTGTAACGCGAGCTGTGCCACAGTGAAATGGAACTAGCCTCTAGGCGGCTCCCGTGGTGTGTACTGGTTACGTGAAAACCCCGTGGGAACCCGGACGCCAGCACACACGGCTAGATTTCATGGCGGGCCGCATAGGCCCTGGGGTCGGAGGCAGAGTCGGTGGGGGTGCCGCGCGCGGCGCGGGCTTCGCTGTCGGGGGCGTTTAGGGCGGGGTCGGGGAAGGAGGGTGGGGTCGGTCGCATTGGCGGCCGCGCGGCAGTGGTTGCGGGGGGGGCGGGAGGAGGTGGTGGCGCCGACCGCAATGGCTGCCGAGGACCCGACGTCGAGCGCCGGGCGAGATCGCGAGGGTCGAGGGTGAGCTCGAAGCCGAGGGCGGCGGCCGAGTTCTGGATGGTGAGGGCGTCGGCGGTGACGATGGCGGCGGAGATGGCGGCGGAGTGGAAGGTGTAGTGTGAGCGGGTGGACGCGCGAGAGGTGCCATACGGCGTGTGGTCAATGGACCCACTAGCGCGTGCGGTCCTCGCAAGCTGGCGGAGGACGCGATCGAGGTCGGCGGAGAATGCTCCGGTCGACTCGGTCACGAGGAGGATGACCGTGTGGCCCTTGGCGAGGGCGTCGGCATAATCGCCGTCCTTCGCTGCCACCCATCCGTCGCCGCTGACGCGGTCCAACTGCTCCTCCGTGTCCGGGTCACCCCGTTGGGGGTGGCCGAGAACGACGACGGAGAGGTGCTCGGCGGGGCGGATGTGGGCGTTGATGGCGCCCTTGGCGATGAGAGCCCCCCAGTGTTTGATGCGCAGGTTGGGGAGGGGCGGCGGCGGCAGTGGCGGCGGCGGCGGCGGCGGCGGCGGTGGCGGCGGTGGCGGTGTCGGCGGTGGCGGCGGCGGCGGTGCGGGCGATGGCCCGCGCCGCTGCGGCTGCGGCTGCTGCTGCGGCTGAAGCTGCGGTCGCTGCTGCGGCTGTGGCTGCGGTGTCTGCGGCGGGTGCGTGACGCGCGGGCCGGGAGGGCAGAAGGAGGGGGCTACGGGGGAGGGGGCGACGCGAAGGAGGTCGCGGTAGTAGAAGGAGTCCCTGACGGCGAGCGGGCAGACGACGATCGGCTCGAGCATCCGCGCGAGGTCGAAGTCGTCGCGCGAGAAGGCGATAAGCGCGACGAGAGGACTGTGGCACCCGTGCTCCTCGACGGCAAACGTGTCGGCCTTGGCGCGGCGGGGCAAGCAGTGGCAGCTGAGCGCGCGACCGCGAACGTGCTCACGCAAGTAGACGCGGTACTCGTGGCACTCGGGGCTGAGGAGCCGGTTGAGCTCGCGCTGCAGGCTCTCGAGCCGGGGGCAGCTCGAGTTGACGGGGTGTCGGCTGCCGAGGCCGTCCGGCCCGAGGCACGGGGCGCGGGGGTAGACGAGCTTGGCGGCAGCCCGCGAGTTGTGCTGCTGCACCTTCTCGAAAGAGTCCTGCCTTCCGCAGTACAGCGAGCCGTGGGGCAGAGCGGGGTCGAGGAAGTGGTAGCAGTGGTTGAGGACGTGCTGGTAGCGCGAGCCGAGGAAGAACTCGAAGAAATTGTACGTCGAGCCGCTCGGCACAATCGCGATGGCGGGCTGAGCGGGCGGGGCGGCGCCGCTGGGGCGCGTGGAGGATGAGGCGTTGTGCAGAGCAGCGCTGCTGCTGCACTGGTGGATGGCGGCATCAATGTGCGACGGCGGTGGGGCGTTCGGTGCTTGCCCAGCGACGGCGGGCGGCGGGCGCGGAGGCGGAGGCGGAGGCATGGCGATAGCTGCGGCGGCGTGCGGAGTCGTCGCCCTGCCCAATGGGGCGGACGCGACAGGTGGGGCGGCTTCAGGCAGTGCAGCGTGGCTGCTGCTTGGCAGGAAGCCAGGCATCTGCAGCTGCGGTGGTAGCAGGGAGCCAGGCAGCGGCGCGCTGCGCGGCCCGTACGGCGGGTGGAGCGCAGCCGATGCCCCAGGCATCGCGCCCAGTGGGGCGGCGGGCGGCGGGGCGGGATGGGCATTGTGCAGCGCAGCGGAACAGGTGGCGCTGCTCTGCACAAAGCCAGGTCCGTGGTGTACCTCGTATACCTGTGTTAGTGCCAGTGCGCGCCAGTCCCGTGCCCAGTGTCGTGCACGAGGGATCCCTTTTTGAACTAGTTTTTTTGAGCTAGCCTTAACAAACGCAAGACTAGTTTTTTACCTGACATGATCGACAACGCCCTCTAGACTAGGGCTGATACCGCAACACATTCGCACAGGGCAGAGCGGAGTGAAGCCACGTCTGAACCGCTGGTGTGAATGGTGAGACCTAACGTACCCTGTGTTCCCGCCCGCACCGAACCCCAGCCGCGAGCAGGGGACATCGCATCAACATCAGCATGAGCAGGACGCGCCCGTGGTGCTACACGGGCACCTGCCGTATTTCGACTCCCCCATACATTCGCCATTGTCCATGTCACTTCCATAGATGAACCGTCGCGTTGCCCAGGGCCTGTGATACGGTCTGTAGGCTCCTCGGAGGCGGAGCAAGCCTCAGCATGTTACATGAAGCGCCCGTGCCAAAGGAACGCAACGAAGGGAGTGAGGAGCACGCCCAACCCTTGTCTCTTGTGGCATTGCCGTACCCAAAATTTAAGAACGGCTCAGAGTTCGTGGTAGAGCTTCGAGCGGCTGGGAATTGGTTACCAAAAAATTGTAGTCGAAGAAGATGTCCGCATATCCCTGAGGCGATGCACTAGGTCTAGCCACTCATCGGGAAGGAGCACGTGGGCGTCGAGCCGAGAGCGCCACAGCTTTTGCCGATGTAGTAGAGCTGCAGGTGGACAGACTCGACACCGGAGAGGTCGAGTCCGTTGGCGGAGCCGGTCGTCGTGCTGAATGCGTTGACCTATACATGCAAGGCAGTGGCTCGTTAT